ATAAGGTCAGCCATTTTTATTGAGAATTTTCACTTTTAACTACCTCCATGGATATCTTGTAGAAAATCCCATATAAACCCTTATAATTCGATGCCGTGTTGTGTTGCTTGTGTGGTTCATAGAGAGAGCTTGGGCTGCCTGTGGAAAGTCGAACGTTTGCTCTTCCCAGTCGAATACTGTAAACCCAAGGTGCCGCAAGGCCTTGGCGATTGATTTAGTACCGGTTTTGATAAGTCCTGCACAGATAATCTTCATGAATATAGTTAAAACAGTGAACTACTTTTCTGATGTGATGTCAGTTTACCAGTCGTTCTTATGAACCCGCTAGAGTCACGAACACATCTAACCGGTCCACTGATCCATGCAACTTGAGCCGTAAATCACATTTACATTTCTGATAACGTTCATCCGAAGCTGAGGATTCAAACCTGCAATTTCTTGTGATGGAAAAGGAACTTTCAACTGGCACGTAACCGTTTTTTTAATGTTTTTTGAAAAAGTTGTTGTGATTGTTTATTGTGTTCGGGAATATCTTCCGGCGCTGGTTCACAACCATGCTTCATAATGATTTTTGAATTATTAATGTACAATAGAAAAGATCGAATTGGAGACAGCTTTGTACTGTTGATGGTACTTCATTTAGGTCGGGCCTAAGATGAAACTCTGATGTTGTTCACATACAGTCTCTGCTAATTGGAAAATATTTTTTTTTCAGAATAAATACTTGTTTTGTTTTACATGATACATTTAATACTTTCACAAAAGGTGTATAATTGTCTAGGATTCATGGTACTATTGATTTTGGGAAGCCATGATCACGTCGGCATTATTGAACATCTTACACGCTTTGCTCATTCAAATAATGAAAATGGCGTTTTATTAAATACGTATTATTCCCCCTATTCTATTATCGTGTGTGATTACTTCGTCGTTAAAGAAATTCTATTCACCGCGAAATATCGTTCTATATAATATATTGAGTGCCTTTGCTGCGAAATTTTATGGCTATATATAGAGCAGAATAATTGCAAAATTTGCATTTGTCAAAGTAACGGTTTAATGCTCATCTACAGTAAGATTTGAACTGTCGTTCTTCTCTCCGTTATTCTGATGTGACCCAAGAATCACCGGTTCGTTATTTGGTATTAGGACGCGTTATTACGCGTTTTAATCATGATAATTGATTGTTTTTGTGATGAACGCTAGCCCGCATTATAAATAAATCGCCAAAAAAGGAAGTCTTCTTTTCATTTTCACGTAGTGCCTAATAAATGAATTGACACAGCCATAACGTGCATCAGCTCGATATATTTTAACTGAAAGCCCTTTAAGATAACTAAATGACAGATTTCCCTAACCTTTGATATACCTATAGCCCGAAAAAGGTATTCCTTTTGGGCTTATCCTGCCCGTATAGGCATTTATAGGGACCTTTATGGGCAGTATCCGCTCCCGGATCGCCACACTAACTCCAAGGCCGGAAGGAAAAAAAAATCTAACACAACACTGAACAAACGCCTTCGGGGTTCTTTATATGTTGGATCGAGGTGAAGAAAAAATAATTTACCTGTAAGAGTCAGGATGTGGTCGTAATATTTAGCTCCCCAGGCTATAATCAGCTAAATTAGCCGACAAATACCAGATTGAGAGACTGGGAAAAATGGGGTGGTAAGTTAATGATTAACTTACTAAAGTCCTGAAAAAAAAAAGATTTTACTTAATCATTAAATAACTGAGTTTTGCAGGTGGAATCGAAGTCTATACTTTAAATCAAAGGGGTTTTTCTACGAAAAATCTCTCGCGTTTCTTGTCGGCTCATTTCTAAACGGTGGATAAATTAAATTAGAGTTTAACTTTATTTATTTTAATATAGCCCCTTAGGAAGTTGATTGACAGAAACCAAAGAATCATATGACGAGCAAAATTAGGAAGGCACCCGCATTAATTTGCACTGAAATACAAATGAAGAATTGGCCTGTTATCAGCCAAACAAAATTGGTGAAGTGTTTTTCTCAGTCCTGTAATAACTAAATTTACACGAATTTAAGAGTGGTTAAATTTATTTATGGTTTATTCAGTTAATACATGTCTTGAGTTTTGATTTTTAGCTAAGGTCCGGTTCATACGTCGCATTTCTGCCGTGTCGAATTCAATTCAACGAATTAAATTCGACAGAAATTCGACGTCTGAATCGGCTGCCGCATTT